AGCGGGATACTTTGACGATGATAGCAATCTCTGAGACTCAGAATGTCAGACTACGCAACCAACGATGAATACATACACATTGCGCGTTTCATTATACTATACTAAGTAGTTCTGGATCATGCAAGATAAGAGGGGGGAGCTGACCGACATCCCAGCTAATCTCTAAATTATATATCGTCCTGGAAACATGATTTAACCATAATTATTAACCCTTCTAGCCCCTCTGTTTATGCTGTATTATACAGCAAAAGGAATAAGCTTTCCTATAGTATGACGGCGTACCTGTGTGATGTTTATCTGTTTGTAGCCCCCTTCTAGCAATCGAGCCGGATTCTAGTACAATTTATGATGCTACCAGTAAATGCAAGAGTCCTAATTGGCTAGTTTGATGGATACATTTTGTGCAAAATCGTGAAAAATGAACATGTCTGTAGCACTCGTTACCCTTTCACACTCGATGTACGGAAGTCGTCGTGGCGATTCGCGCCAAAACTGGTGGCGTGGAGAGCGCTGCAGCTACCCCGCGCTTTCCGCGGGGAAAACTTTTGCCCATTTGTCAAGCAAAGACTTGTGTAAACAACAAATGGGCGAAGTTTCCTCCACATTAGATCAGAGGTGAGCTACTCGTCATCTACTTCCTGCAGCTTTCTTTTCCTGAATCTAATTTTCTTTCTCATGTCCGGTGGGATGATGGTGCCATTCTTCCAGGTGATATGCCATGTCTGATGGCACGTGTCGGTGTTGCCTCGCTCCTCTCTGCGAACCTTGTTGCAAAGAGCCACGCGACCCCCAAAGGTAAGCGAGCATTCTTCACAAGAGTACGGCGTCTCGAAGCTGCGATGTTCCTTGTCGGAATAGGCCGAACATACTTTGCATAAATACTGACGGGCTTTGTTCTTGTAGGTTTCCGCAGTTTTTGTCAGCACGTGCGGTTGTCCTGCCAGTGGGGTCGAAAGTAAGTTTTGGGCGTGCATGTTGTCTTGAAAGTCCACCTGTTGCTGTGCAAGCAGCTCCACGTGTAGCCGCGCCAAATAGTCAGCATGGGTGGGAACAGGTTTGCTCTTTCATCACTAACTTGTGGATAATGAACCCATTGACTAATGCCATGTCAATGATACCGAAAAACAGGTTCTTGTAGTAGGATTGATGGCGCAGTGCTTTCTGGATAGAATAGCGGTGAAGTCGCAGCTGATCGTGTTGGTCTACTCCTCCCATGCCTTTGTTGTAGATACGAACCAGCTCGGGGCACGCAACTTCAAGAGAGACGCCATCCCCCTTACGCTTTCGCTGAACAATAACCCGTCTCGTGCTGCATCCCGTTGCCATGAAGTTGACGATCTTTGAATCCTTCCAGCTAGCGGCGACCAGCCCTGGGATCCATGGATTATACGCGACACGGTACGCTCCGCGCTCAATTTTGTTTGCAGGTTGCTGAGGTTGCAACTGCTTTTGCTTTTTCTTACTGGGGAACTGGATCCGCTCGCTCCAGCCTTTCCGATTCACGCGTGTTGTACCTACTGTGTAGATTCCCATTCTCAGAAGGCGTTCGGCTAGCTGCACGCAGGTGTAGTAGTTGTCGGTGACGACTAGGCGCTTTCCAGGCTGCCCTCGCAACGCTTTGGTCAAGTTGCGGATCACCGCTTTCGAAATAGCTGACTCGGTGTCTTCTTTCCCGCGATAGATCTCTATTCTGTATGATTCACCATAAACACACAGCATTAGATACCTTCCGCGCTCTGCTGTAGGCTACATCATAAGACGACTTACCGAGAACAGTATGCTGTATTAGAACAGCAAACCATGTACAACTTGGTTCCCCACTTCGTTGGTTTGTCCTTCATGTAGATTCGCATCGGGTTGTATTGATGCCTGCTGCCAATCATCCTTCATCGAAGGAAAACGTGGAACCCATTCGGTATCCGTTTCGAAAGGTCTTCTCAATCATCTGGAGGACAGGACGCAATTTCCAAGCTTTGTCTTTCTTACGCCGGTCGTTCGCATTGTCATTGAAGTGTAGATAGCGCGTGATCTCCTCAAATCGCTTGCGAGTCATGAATTTGCCGAACGTGCCTCGTGGAATTGCCCCATTCTCAGACGTCGACCAGTGATCTCCTAGTGAACGCCGGTGGCGCACAGTGCACGAGCTATAAGCAGCGCAATGTAGTGAACTATCTCGTGAGATTGAAAGGGTTTCACCTTGCTCAAAGTGTCTTTGATATCCGATAACGACTGGACTCGACTATCTGGGTGTGTAAGTTGCCACTGTTACTGACGGCGTTGTTTCTGGATAGCGACTACATCTACCACACTCGCACGATATCGATTGGATTCCTCAGCAATTTTGGTCCACATCAACTTCGGCATGAAGTAGTAAAACATGGCAAGAGGTGACTCCGCATACGTTTGCGCAGACTCCGTTGGACCCCACCGGCCATGTACAGATCCGATGCACCATCTACTTGCAGGTCTCCACTGTGGTCTTGATCGTATACAACCCACGCAGAAGAAACCGCCTTCAATTCCGCGTCACGGAGAAAATCAGGATTGGCATTGGCATTTTCTCGAGGGGACCAGTCATCATCAGCAACATCCTCAAAGAATTCGGCGTCATCTAATCCGTCATCGTTGTCGCTCAGGGCATCCTCGGCGGCATTACTTGCCAAGCCCACTTCCGTGTCCATTACTTCGTGAATATAATTTTCCGTATCAATCTCATCAGACTTGTCGCTCTCCGAGTCCGAGTTACAGATATTGGAATCGTCTGCATCCGCATTTTGAGACCATTCACACTTGGACAAAGCGAAAATTGATCCATTCGAATCGTGCATGTTGAACGCTGCAACGTCTTCAAGCTCGGGCTCCTCACCTTTTTCCTCTTCCTCTACTGCAGCATGACCTTCTGCTGTATCAAGATGCAGAGGCAGCGTCATTGTGTTTTCTTCTGCTGTATCAGACAGGATAACGCTTGAAGCTTGTGCTGTAGAAGCCAGAGGAACTGGACGCACAGTCAGAGCTTGTACAGTAGCATCCCGAGTAGCCACACTCGCAGTCCGAACTTGTGCTGTAGCCGGTCGAGCAGCTGCGGTCGAGGGCCGAGCTTGTGCTGTATTAGCCGAAGTAACTGGACTCGAAGCCCGAGCTTGAATTGTACTGGCTACAGTGATTGCCGTCGCAGTAGAGGTCGTCGTAGCTGGCACGTTCTCTTTAGCAGGCGGGGTAGTCGTTGGTGCTGTCTCCCTTTCGACGCGATCAGCTGCGGCAGAGGTGGGCCTATCATCGCACGCTCCGCTGTCTGCAGGCGGTGCTGTCAATGCTGTCGACGAAGGGGACGGAGGAATAGTTCCAGCGATAACACTATACTCTAACCAGCCACGCTGTCGAGCAAACTCCAGTAGCGCTTTCTCGCCTGGGGGGACAAATCGGTTAGTAAAGTTGTTGTAATCGATGCAAACTAGTGGTGCGAGCTGTACCGGTAAAGTAGTCGACGCCATCCTTTCCTTTCACGCTTCCTCTTGGGCGGACGTAGCGGTGGTCACTACTTAGGCCGTTGGGGGGCTTCGGTGTCCACCCTTGCTTGCAAAGCTCTCGCCAGAGCTGCTTGAACGTTTTTTCCATGCTGTTCGAGTTGGGCGGAGCGGGGCGGAGGGAGACCGAGATTTCAAGTGTAGTGGGGAGGGAGCGGGAAAGCGCGATCGACACAAACCTCTAGCCACCCGATAGCATCCGTAGACGGGCTCCTCTAACCCCAGATCAGTAGCGACGTGCGAGAAACCAGTCACCGTTAGGATTTGCAACCGACCAATACAAATTCCAGTATGCGAAAAAGTTTGATGTTTCATTGTTCGCTGCATATTAAAACCTCTTATAATACATGTACTTATGCTGTATTATACAGCATACAGGACTAGAAGGGTTAAATGCAAATACATGGACATCATTATGACACGTGATAGTATTGCTCATGCAGTATGAGGCGAAAATTGCGTTCAGTCTTCAATTATCGGGTAGTGGTGCGAACATGTTTTGGCCGTGACCCAACATGGGGAATACATGCTCAAAATAAAATACCTGACTCCGTAATATATTTCGGGAGAAATCATAGTAACCATGGGCAAAATCCAAGATTACTGTCCCCTACGGTAGCCCTAATGAAAAACATGGGCTGTAGCACTGGGCTAAATAAAACTGTAACGTGAGTCAGAGTGATTTTTCAGTGGCTTAAACGCGAAGGTTCACCCCAATCCACATGTAATTCGCAAACTGAGAGAATAAAAAAAAACTGCCATGATGCTGAGGCTAGGAGTCAATCGCTTGCTTTGCATATCGCCACTTGCTTCTCGCTGTATTTTTCTCTTCGGTCGTGACGTAAGGATAAAGTCATATCCTCGTGACTTACGGCCCACTGTCTCTCTGTGTCTTCGTAAAGCTCTCGACTAGATTCGCGACCGTGGCATGACTCACCGGCGGTATGAAATCGCTGTCGGAAGCTACACGAGCACATTACCATCGAGCAACATACAGCTTTTTAAAACTACTCACTCTACTATTAATAGTAGTAGTACTACGTAGTACTGTAGTAGTACTACGTAGTACTGTAGTAGTACATAGTAGAAGCTGAATCACAAGGTGTATTAAAACGACGTACTGTAGTAATTTACAGCCACACTGCTTCAACGGTGCATGTCCCACGTGATGCACATGCAAACTTGGCAAGTAGTACAGTAGAACAGTGAAGTTCACTGTGAACACACCGACCAATAAAAAGGATAAAAGATCGTCGTGTAACACGAGTCGTGTTCTTGCAGATGTATACTAGAAGCTACTGTACCTGCATACTTGGACTCGAAACACGGGTTAAATAGATGACACTAAAATGCGTATCCAAGTTGTATTCAACTCTGATTACTTGAGAGGACGGGAAGCGAGTGTCAGGCCGGCACCTGCTGAATATGACCACGTGCGGAGGGAAAGAGGCGCGACGCCTTATAGGTGGCCACTGTCTACGGCTTAGCCGTCACGGGGCACGGCGTCGTAGCCGCAGGGGTCGTCTCTGGCAGCGACGTCACCGGGCACGGGGTAGTTGCCGCTGGGGTCGCTGTAGGAGCCTCCGTCTCGGGCAGCGAAGTCGCCGGGCACGGGGTAGTTGCCGCTGGGGTCGGAGCTGTCGTCTCCGGCAGCGAAGTCACCGGGCAGGGCGTGGTAGCAGCAGGGGTCGAGGTAGGAGCTTCCGTCTCGGGTAGCGATGTCACCGGGCAGGGCGTGGTGGCGGCAGGGGTCGGAGCTGAGGTCTCCGGCAGCGAAGTCTCCGGCAGCGAAGTCACCGGGCACGGCGTTGGGGCGGTAGTCTCCGGCAGCGAAGTCACCGGGCAGGGCGTTGGAGCGGCAGTGTCCGGCAACGAGGTCACCGGGCACGGCGTTGGAGCGACAGTGTCCGGCTTTGATGTAACAGGACATGGTGTGGTTTCCGCGTCTGGCTTCGAGGTGATCGGGCACGGAGTGTCAGGTAGCGAAGTCACCGGGCAAGGCGTGTCCGGCAACGAAGTCACCGGGCATGGAGTGTCGGGCAACGAGGTGACTGGGCAAGGCGTGTCCAGCAGGGCGGTGACTGGGCACGGAGTGTCCGGAAGAGAGGTCACCGGGCATGGAGTGTCAGGTAGAGACATAACCGGGCAAGGAGTTTCGGGCAGCGACGTAACCGGGCAAGGAGTGTCGGGCAGCGACGTCAACGGGCAAGGAGTGTCGGGCAGCGACGTCACCGGGCAAGGGGTGTCGGGCAGCGACGTCACCGGGCAGGGAGTGTCGGGCAGCGATGTCACCGAGCAGGGAGTGTCAGGCAGCGAAGTCACTGGGCAAGGAGTATCAGGCAGTGACGTCACCGGGCAAGGAGTGTCGGGCAGCGACGTTACCGGGCACGGTGTAGTGGCAGTGCCGCATCCGACGGATGGGAGCACGCAGCCCCAGGTGTCGCCGTTAACGATGGTGCACTCGGCATCCTCTGGAGCCACACAGGCACTGCCGTTCCAGGACGGCAGGTAGTCGTAGCAGTCAGCAATAGCCACGTCGCCCTTGAGGGGGCAGGTCGTGCCGGCCGGTGCCGCTCCAGCACCGGAGCACATGGCACCGCGCGAGGCAGGCGAGTTGTAGGTGGCATCGCGGCATAGCGATACGGGCAGGTCTTCGAGTGCCGAAACGGCCGACACGGCCACGGCAGCGCACACAAGCGCGGCGAACGTCTTCATACTTTCCGTCGGAGCTGCTAGAACCGATGAAAAGTGGGCACTGCTGCTGCTGCTGAGACTGAAAGCAGATCGAGCTTGGCTGTGTCAATTACGACGTCAAATTCGAAAGTGCCGGGGGACGTGCCGGCGGCAGCTTGAGTTCCCTCCGTGCTGGGCGAGACTGCCCTTCCGACACAGTTGTCCAAGTGGACATAGCGCGTACTGAATTGGATGCAAAAACGTAGAAACGGTCCATCTCTCGGCGGACAAGATACATCCCTTAGTTTTTTCAAGTGACTTGGTTTTAGTGTGCTCGACGTCTGCCATGACAGCGCTGCTGTCCCAGATCAGCGCTTGGAAAAAAAATGTTCGCGGCCTGCCTCCAGAAACTGCGGTGCCCATTGGGCACTGCCCAACATGTTTGGTCTCGTCATTTGGCAAAAGGCCTGCCGTGTCTACAGGAGACTTTCTATTAATTAGCGTTTAAAGGTTGTGACGACTTCGAGGCGATGATTAATGTATCAAATGAAAATACGATCGTTCATGTGGGCTATCTAAAGCTGTCCACCAATGCAATCCCAGGGAGACACATTCAACATCGACACTTCGTTACAGCCATCGAACGATCCAAATAGGGCTTTCACTCGCCGAAAACACTACCAAATTGGTAGTTTTTGGTAATTAATAGACGAAATGGACAACTGGGTTTCTTGCTGAACACTGCCTGTGCGCCTTACAGTAGACGCTTCATAGTAGGGAATGAATTTCGATCTCTATGGCAGCGTTTGAAGGTGCATCAGCGGCACAAAGTGCAACTCCAGTACAGCCTCGGGTACAGTATTTGCGTTTGGTGTTCGTAGAGAATCTACGGATTTTATCTAGGTCTCCCTCGCGGATACTTTATAGGCATTTTCATCAAAGTTGAAGTTTTCAAAATCTCAACGGCGGCAAACTGTGGCACTGTTTCCTAACGCAGCTTTTTCTTCGGTTGAATTTCCGCAATTTGCAGAACGTCATCCACCGGATCTCCCCATACCCTCGTGTAGACCAGCAGCTCCCTCCGTCTGTAGCTCCTATAATAGCTGCGAGAACGTATTTTGCGAAGGATTTTACAGATAGGCTGAGGTTTCTTTTGTTGCTAAGTAGAAACTTGCTACATCCTCAGTAAGGATTCCTCACTATCCTGACAATAGTATTCTCACACGCACCTGGTTTTATTAGTGCAGCCGCAAGCCGCAACGACAGTGACCCGCTGCTGAGTGAGCAGTGCTCTCTGACTCAGTGATTGAGCATGTGACGGGGTCACACAGCACCTTGCGCTAGAGGAAGTTATCTTCCGAGAGTATACAAACTCTCAGTGAACGGCAGTTCACAGGTCCCCTCTTTAATTAAAGAGAGCGAAGTGACCTAAATAAGGTAGATTGTAAACTGAGTATATTTATAGGTAGGTTAAGTTTGAGGTTAATACAAACTATCAGTTATCTATAGTAATGCAATGTCATTTAACCAATGGTTGGTTTTGAATGACCTTGGTACCTTGTACCAAATATCCCGGAGTATGACATGTCATACTCCTGAAGTGTGAAGTGTCACACTTCATGTAACCAGGGTACACTTAGTGCTACGTACCCCGTTACATCCTCCCCCACTTAGGTTCGGTTTACCGACCAATCAGAATGAAGAGATGTTCGTCACAAACTCTCATTCTCAAAGTCGAAAACCATCGACTCGGCCGCGCGAGCGCGGCGGAGGCTCACTTTACAGTTAGAGCCTCGAGCAGCAACCTGTGCGCTCTTCGTCAAGGTCTCCACTTCGACCGTTAACATGCCTCGTGGCACTGCTAAGAGCGGTGCTAAGACACGCTCCAAGGCTGCAGCCGGTAAGGCGCAGGCCAAGAGCACTAAGCCTCACGGCAAAGGCTCTGCACTCAAGGAGGCTACTCAGGTGGCCTCCGAGGCGATCGGATCCTCGGGTGACGCGGCTGCGGACAAGCGCGCAAGCAGGCGCCGCAGTCCGTCGCCCTCGTCTTCAGACAATCGTCCGAACCCTCGGTTCGTAGAACATGAGTTCAACTCGGGCAGTGAGGACGATGCCGAGTTCGAGAGCACTCATGATGCTCCTGCGGGCTCTGTGGGAGGGCACAGCCCAGTGCCCAGTGAGCACAAAGAAGACAGCGTGCAGTCGTCCGCTAGTGATCACGGTGATCACAGTCCCAGGACCTCTGTGCGCTCTGAGAGTCCGGCCGTTAAGGCTAAGGGCACTCCCAAAGCCGGTGGCGATGAGGAAGGGAGTCCTCGCAAACGTCTCTCGCTTGCCGAGGGTCTTGCGCGCGCTAAGGCCTCTAAAGCCGAAGGCGCCAAGCCCTCAAAGAAGCGTACCGCCTCTAAGTCTCCACTCCGCGAGGAGAAGGAGACTCGACGCTCCTATCAGAGTCTCTTCGACTCCTCGGATGAAGAGGAGGAGAAGGAGGAAGAAGAGGAAGAGGAGGGTGCCATTGTTGAGCCCCGGGAGGTCTCGAATGACCTCGACCAGCAGCAGGAGGATTTCCAAGCTGCCCAGCGTGTGCGTGGGGGTTCGGTGGCGGCACCCGTCAACCAGGGAGCTGCCATCAACTCAAGAGGGTATTGGCCTCCCGAGGAGAGCTCTGGGGCTGACCTCTTCTTAGAGCTTCTTGTCGCTCCTCGTGGCCTTGTGGGCGGCCACACTTCTAGGGGCATCTATGAACGAGCCCTTGTTCAGAAAGAACAGTTGTTCGTCGACAACGTGGAGGCTGCTCGGTGTGTGCTTCTCGCGCCACACCGCATTCCCCTTAAGGACTTCACGACTTGTCGTAAGAAGCCCGAGACCCGGGGTGGTCTCTATCCTGTTTGGGGATACCCCTGGGTTATGCCCGAGAACTGTTCCACATGGAGTTCTTGTGAGGACATGTTCTGGGGCTTGGGTTGAGACTCTCATGTACTTCCCTCACGTAATTATGTAAACTC